TGCTCGTCAAGCAGGAAATAAAATGATTAGTGTTTTTTTTTTGCCAACATCTGTCCGCAGAAGTAAATTATATGAACTTCCAGGGAATAATTTTTGAGTTTTTTCAAAGAAATCAGGGACTGATTAAAATCAAGTGACTGATTAGACGAAATGATTTATCGCTTTTCCAGATTTCCTTCCACACACACGCACACACACTGAATATAAGGTAAAGATTTGTAAGTTTGTCAACTGTGGTAACTTTAGCCACATTGGTCAGGGAATTCAGAATTATTTTGAAAAAATCAGCTTTCAGCTAAGACAATTATACTGAAAAGACTGTGAATGAAGTTTCTGAATTAAATAAACTCAGCATTGTAAAACTTCACATTGGAATAAAGTTTAGAGGGTGTTGATTAAAAATTAACTTGTCACAATGTGAAGTGACAATTCCACAGTTTTTGAAGGGAATCGACAATAGTTTGTGACTATACTGACTCCTAATATACACATATGGACATTCTCATTGGAAACAGATGGATAGTAAATTGCTCAGAAACACTGATATAATTATTAATAATAATAATCACTTTATTCCAAACAGTAATAATTATACATATTGCAACAATTTAGCTCCTTTGTTTAAATATGTACCTACATATAACTTAAAATAGTATTAATAATGTTAATAAAGTAACCACTATAAACTGAATGTTGGTGAAAACATAATGAAGTATAAGTTGATAGTATCATAGATAATACATGTAATATTAGTTATAATCTTTGCTCATACTTTGCAGTTCACTCACTGATTTAAAAAATTTATTAGTTCCTTACTGACATCTGACCATCTCTTCACGCGAAACCCGTGCTCAATGCAGTATGGTAGAATTTTTATATTTGGTTGTACCACCATGAATTCTTATGAAGTTCCTTCTGGTTTTGTCGGAAGATATACGGGGAGAAGTTTGGGAATAAAGAGAATGTTCAGTATTAGACTAGATAACTTTAGATAAATGCTTGCAAGAATCGATGTGCTTATTGGTAATAATGTCAGTTAGCTGAGTCAAAGGCTCATTACTAACCCTTCTTACAGTCTTCAGTGTTCTACATCATATGACAGAGTCTTTTTGGAGAAATCCAGAGAAGACAATAAAGGAGAATGGGCGCAATACAAGAATTAATAAATTGTAAGAGAAGAGGTTGAATTATTCCAGAAAGTATTAAGGTATTAAAACAAACTTATCTAATATGGAATTAAATGGAATTAGTTTAAGAACAATTAGGTGAGGGCATTTGTTAACTTCAGACAAGAATCTATTAATTTAAGAAAAATGCAAAGTGAACAGCGGTGAGTTGGAAGGCAATTAAAAATTTGCATCAGTTCATGTTGTGATCCAAAGAGATGGTTGGAAGTTTAAATCGACAAGAAATGGAAAGATGTGGATGCATCACACTGGATGGAAATTCACGTATCACAAATGTTTAAAGAGACCGCTAGTTCCTGAAATGAAATGATTAACATTAATGTTATAGATGCTTTTGCTTTAAGGCCCAGTTAAATATATCTTCTTAATGAAAGACGAATTAAATATTTCACCTCTTGGACTCCTTGAATCTATCCTAAACTTGCTACTGTCCATTCAAGGCTTAAACTCGGAAACTGAATGTTTCCTCATATCACTGTATTCCTATACTACTGCCAGTTGTGTTAATTGTGTTATCTATAGTTTGGTTTGTAAGGGTTAGTTTTGTTTTTAAGAGTTGATCACGGATTGATATCAGTTAGAGAACTAATGAAAACCAGTACTGGATATACTGGACATCTGTTTCATCCTAGTTTGGGAATCATCCACAGTACGCGCCCACCGCTAGGGTTCGAACCCAGGGCCTTCCAGTTACAAGGCAAGCTCGTATACCATTCAGCCACTGGGACCCGATTCAATGGCTCATGAATTCTAACTTCTACCAATTCGTGGTTTAACGTGACCCCAACCATTGCCGTATACGAGCTTCCCTTGTAACTGGAAGGTCATGGCTTCGAACCCTAGCGGTGGGTGCGTACTGTCGATGATTCCTAAAGAGCTAGGATGAAACAGCTGTCCAGTACTCGCTGGTTTTCAATGCTTCTCTAACTAATATCAATCCGTGATCAACTCGTAAAAAATGTTTTATCATATAACACGCTACACTTGCATATTCCTTTTATTTAAAATTCATATTTACATCTGGTTGTAACTCTTTTAAACATTAAAAATTACCTTATAAATAGTTTTAGATTCACTTTATCAAAGTGGCTTGTGCTGTTTCGATTCATCGGTCATAATCTATTAGAAAAAATGTCTGTCTCGATTATAAGAGGGTGTTGTGTCACAGATGAACAGAAAAACTTTTAGTACTCCATTCAGTTTATTAATTTTACGTGACTGTGACGAATTTAGTGGTGAATAATGAAAATTAACTTGTAACACGCAACAATAACATAGCGAATGACCAGGAGCAGATGGGTAGTTGTAGTTTCAATGGTATAAAGCTTCCACGTTTTTGTTTTAGTGAAGTGTATAAATGATAGTATTCAGCTATGCATACATATCTATTATCGCCACTAGTTTGAAACAATGGAAATTTAAACAAAATAATACCGGTTTTTACAAACAGCTATCTTAAATCAAGCCAACACTCATCGATGAAAAGGTGTTTAAAGGACTGAACCAGTTATTACTAAAAAAGGCCCTGGGGGAAAATGCGGTCCAACACTGAAACTAACATGCAGTTTCAATCCAAATAGAGTGAATAAGTAGGCTGAAACTGATGTAACAGTAATAACATTCTGTGAAAGCACAAGAGAATATTATTTCCGAATATGTAAAGCAATTACGTGCAAGTGATGATGAACATTAAAGCGAAACACATAAGGACTGACTGAAACTGCTAACTTATCATACACGTGCCATTGAAATAAACAAAGCTTAGTAAGATGTGAGAGTATTTCAGAAGAATTATGTCTCTGTCTGCAGTATAGTTTCTGGCTCTTGCTAAAATCAAAACTAATGACCAAATTCAAATGAATTCAATATAGGGGGTCACTATCAAATGTTCGTTATATTTGTCTTACTATCAGTTCACAAAATTGGCGAGAAATCATGAAAACACTCAATGGCAAAGTTAACTTTGCCAGATAATGGAGTTGCATGAGTAAGATTGTCAACTACAAGATTTCCAGCTCAAAGATATATATAACGATTGTAAAATACGAAGAAAGCACACCTTACTGGGGTTGTGTTCTAATAGGATGCCCAATGTAATTCACTCAACTGCTGAATGATCTCCACTTCTCAATAGTTATTTCCTTCCTTTCTGTACATCATATATATGCATGCAAATCTATCAAGGTAGTGAGTTTATATTCATATGTGTACCGAATTTGATGCCTGAAGTGATACTTCTTGGCCTAAGTCCTCCTGAATTCTGTACTTGTTATACTAAGATTTAACACTAATCATGTCGCGAATATGAATTTTACTGACGAACACTTCATACAAACACAGTAGATGGTGATTTTGTGCAATAGGTGCACTGAACCTGCTAAGATGACTTATCTGTATTGTTAGATCTTTATTGATGATTGATGTTCTTTTCACATATCATAGTCCATTTTAATTTCAACATTCTGTTATTCTTGTTGCTGCCCTATCCTATGTGCAGCGCCTTTTCTTCCAAAACACCTAGTTTATATACATTTTGTTAAAAAGGCTCACTGTGAGAGAATAAGGCATTATATACTTCAACAGTGCTTGCAGCTTATGCATTTAACTCGATGACTGTTATTCTCGTTAACGATAACTGATCTTCAAGACAAAGAAATATGCATTCTTCGAGTATATAGGTGTATTTTCGCTACTCCGTGTGATTTGCTAGAATGTAGCTAATCTCCTCAATTCAGTGTGATGTTATATATCGTTGGTTGATATGACACTAGTTTCAAAGATCACGAGTGTGACCTCAGAGGACAAACGAAACGACCGACCAGAGTTTACATCAGTTAGATGTGACTGGCAAGCATTAGTGTCTGACGTGAGTTGTATCAATCAATAGAATATGATATCATGCTGTTTTGCTTGCTTCCTTCATTGCCATTCATAGTACTTTCGCTTTCGTGAACAGAATGTTGGGACTCCTCAACTCGACCTATGCAGTTTGTAGACGATTATCAAATCCAAGACTTACGAATGTCATTCGAGTGTTTACATGCACACAATGAGAGGATACGTACAAAATGCTTGATGAACTTGTTAAGTTAACGTATGCTGAAGACTTACATCTCAAGATTCTACCAAAATCTCACCGGAGACAAGAACTGCATGCTTAATGTTTCCACATATATTCATTACATACCACGGTCTATATTCAGGTCGGTGTTTTAGGAGACAAACACTGGGAGGCAATAAACGCTATATCCTAAAGGTGAATACTTTGTATTCAACCACGAGTCACGGTTACTTTCCAACTAAACCCATTAGGTCCTTATGTCGAAAAAATGTCTACGAAACCTCATCAATCATCAATGAAGGAAAAAGCTTGATTCTAGTTAATGAGTTAAAAATGATCAAAAACACGACAGTATATTTTATTTATTTAAATCTGTAAATAATTTTTATTATCTACTTTTGCAGTAGTTGTTTTGGTTTGGTTTTTCTTATCAGAAGGAGGCAAAACACCCACAAAAAGTATCTAAAGTTAGAAGTTCGTCATATTTCAAGTCCAGAATAAGTAGGAGGGATATTACGAAGCAGACACAAGTATACAAAAATAAATCCAGACCAATTCATGAGTGCATACATAATCATTTTGAAAAAGAAAGAAACAAACTCGTCCCAGTGTTGCTGCAGTCTCCCTCACTCTCTCTCTTTCCCAGTGATCCTCTCTTTTCTCTCACTGTTTATTATTTATCCAAAGTTTATTTTCAACTTTTAACTAAAATAAAGTTACAAAGACAAAAGTTGAATACAAAAATGAAAACTGTTGAGCGAAGAAGAAAAAGGTAACTGATAAGTTGGGTGATTTTTGTGTCTGAAAATTTTGATACGTGGTGTTTGTGTGTCTGTGTGACTGTGTGAAACAATGTCCATAGGTTTCTTCATATCCTGTCTGTTGACTAACATCCATCTAACCAGACTTGAACAGTAGGAATGCTAACTGTCCCAGATACAAATAGATGAAGTGTTTGGTTTCATGCGTCACATAGCTGAAATTTAAAAGACGAGGAAAGGATGGGGTGGGGATGAAACTTGGTCTGAGAAAAATACGAGATAACAGTTGATTTATGCAAATTAATTCGAAAAAGTCACATTAAAATTACCGCCATAGGAAAGTTATCCAAAAACTCTGTTTAGTGGAATGCTTTTAGTCTAATTGACTCTATTAGTTGTATTGTACAATAATGAGTAGTATACAGGATGAAATTTGTCGATGAATACCTGAGGTTAGTTTTCAGTAGGATACACAGTTTTACATAACTTATCCTTTGACACTCTCACTGAACAAAATAGAATATTCCATCACCTTTAGAACTGTCATGTCTTCATATAGCTGTTACGATTCACTTGGGTAATGAGAGAAGTTTCTTTCGAAGCTATTGAGACTGGTTTCGTTATTTACTGCCAGCTTGTAGTGTGACAATTGATTGATTTACCAGTAGGTAAGTAGATCCACTAGATAACTTAAAATTAAGCCCATTACTGTCCTATTGTCCAGTGGAAATAAGTATACATAGTGCAGCTGCATATTACTAGTACAATGGGTAGATATTTCTTTTCTACCTCAGAGTTTGTGATTCCATCACGTGGGTTTCAAATGAAGTCATTTGGTTGAAAGTGCAAGTTAAAAGTATATGTATGTAACTTTTCAGTTAGGAAATCCAATGTTTACAGAATAAGTACTAAGGTGTTAGGAATGAAATGGATCGTTAGTAGAGTAATACGATATCTATCTTATATGAATGATGAATGAAATGAACACTTGAAATGTGACCCTATCCATCCTACAATTACTGAGATGAGATTAATCATGGCGAATCAACAACTTATACTTAAACTATCTAAAATAATGTGCACATAACTACTGTACATTTGTCGTATTCACACTATATAATTGTATTGAGTCCAAAGCCACCATCTGAGAGGTAGATTATTTCAGGAATATTACAGCCTAAGTGTGTTTCACCAGTGTTTGTTCTATTTTATTTATTTTTTATTTTCTTATTTTCGTTTACAGCTTGATTCCACACAGTACTTTTGGTAGAAGTATGCAATTTTCAGCATGGATACCGGTAGCCCAAATTTTACAGGCCGATCATAGATATCGGTTGTGCGTCGGCAGGTAATCGAACCCCGGACCATGTGCATGGTCGGCGGGAGTCCTAACCACTGTGCTACCGACGCACAAGCAAATTATACACTTTCACTTAATCAAAATGTGCTTTACTAAAAACATTGATTAAGGAATTTCGAGTTATTCAGTTTTTTGAAAAGAACATAAAATATAAATGGAACAGACAATAATCATGCATTGTCCTTAAGTTATATGACAGTGTAAAACCAAGAGGGTGGTTATGTAGCATTTTGTCATATCTACACCCTCCCCAAGTATTGGACTACTTATTCTGTTGAGTAGTTTCAAAATGCAGAGAAGTATTTTGATATTACTTCCAGATGACGCCCAATAGCTGACCACCTGTAATCTTTCCATGAGGGGATGGATTTCGAGTCACTTGTTTTTTAACCTTCCTAGAAATTTATGTTTCCAAATGTTTGTAAGAGAATTATTTTCATGAAGCCACCTCTCTTCACTAACACTTCAGAATTAATCTGATGCTCACTAGTGACTGACTACAGGTAGAAGTTTCCTGCAATCCCAGTGCGAATTCGTGAGCAAAACGGTTTTTCAAGTAGGCTATGAGAACAAATACTCACTGATGACATTGGTTAGTGATGATGGTAAAAATGTCCAACGGTCAGAAGTTTGAATTAGTGGACTATTTGATTCTGTCCCAGTGGCTGAATGGTCTAATCGAAGGCTCTGAGTTCGATCCCTGATGGGATCATGGTTATGCGTAGGTCTGAGTTCCAAAACTAGGACTGCTTTTCAATGGTCCCCTAACTCGTATCAGTCCGTGATCAAACTTTAACCAAACCAATTCTCTACAAACTAGCACTTGAAAAAAATGACTCATATTAGTCTCTTCATCTACTAACTAATGATTATCTTGAGGTCATCTCAGATGCATCTCAGATAATTAATTATGTGAAATATTCAAGTGTATGAAACAAAAGAAAAGGCGAAACAATTCACTCACCTTCCAAAATTTCTACCAACAATACAATGCCATGTAGGATTGTACTTCTTGTCGAATTCCTTCTTCACATAGGCTGCAATATCTTTTTCAATATTGTATTTCTCCATGGCTTGTGTACAACAGTCGACAGCATCTTGTTGCATATCCTCTGTCATATCAGCATTTTTAATAACAGCCTTATTTTCAGTCATATCTAGCTAGAAAAGTCACTTAATCACAAGTAGGTAATTCTTCCGTTGGTCTCCAGTTGTTGTATGGATACCTTCCTCTTTTTGTGACACTATTTATAGGATGAATTGAGTTTATATTGTTTGTGTGACCTTAATGAAGAAAAAACAAAACAACAAAGACATTAGTAGCTTGGCTTCAAAATTCACCATATGATCTACTAGATGCTGCTTATATGAAGTACAATAAAAACGAAATAAACTGATAAATAAATAAATAAATAATATAATTCAGACGTTCTAAGAAAAACAACAATAGTTATGCACTTGGAGTTAATTATTTCATTTCTCTATAAACACTGACAGCAATTAGATAACTGGAAAGGTGCTTGATGGATTCTGAGGTATCTTTCATCACAGAATACTATAAATCCTCTCTTTCTTACAAATTACAATAAATGCTGGAAGATGATGGATGGATAGATTCCCAAATTATTCTAGACAATTTTTCCATTAATAACTTATGACTTTTTTGATGTGATTGTGTTCTCTGAGCTGGATAGTTAATTGGCGAAGCTTTCATTACCCTGCTGGGTGACATCTTCAGCGCATACTTCAATTTGAAGTGAGCTTTCAGATTTCGCCACGAGTTTATTAATCATCTCTCCCGGTGACCTTAGACGTGATTGGTTGTTTTTGTGTGTTTTCACACCGTCTAGGTTACTTGTATTGGAACTGATTGTTTCTTTGACTTGAACTTTGACCTTTTGTGTGTGTGAAGTTTCTTTCTTATCGGTTGATAAATTTTGTCTATCTCGATGTGTCTATTGATTGATGATTCACTGGAATACCAAGCTTCTAAAAATTCTCTAGCATTCTTGTTGTTTCCTCTGTCTAATATTTGGACGTTGTTCCAGTTGAATGGATGACCGTGGTTGTTTGTATGTAGTGATATGAGGGTGTGGATCTCATGTCTTTTGACAGCTAGCTTATGTTCGAGGATACGAAGACGAAGGGGACTTTGGCCAATGTAGTGTTTTTCGCAGTTGTTACAATTTATTTTGTAGATGATGTTAGTTTTATCTTCTTTTGCTGTTGAGTCTTTTGGTTGGCATAGAGCTGAGTGAAGTGATTTTGTTGGTTTGTGTGCGACGTCAATTTCTAAAGGTTTGACGAGTCTTGCAGTGATTTCTGATATATCCTTTATATATGGCAGGGCGACTTTCTTTGTGCTTTCCTTGGAAGCTTTTGGTTTGATAGGTTGGCTTGGGGGTATATGTCTTTTGATGAAATTCCGTGGATATCTATTCTTTTGGAAGACGTCCATGAAATATTTTTCTTCAATTTTTCTTAGGGTGACAGTGCTGCAATGAGTTCTGGCCCTCTTGAATAGTGTTTGTATGCAATTCCTTTTGTGTGTTATTGGATTGTTGCTGTTGTAATTGAGTATTTGGTCTGTGTGGGTTGATTTTCTATAAACTTGGGTTTCTAATTCCCCTGTGGTTGTTCGCTTGACTAAGACGTTCAAAAATGGGATTTAGTTTTTATGACTTAAACTTAAGACTTTTCATGACAATGACACAAAGACTATGTGCCTTGTGTAGCTTCACTTTTGTTGAACAGTCTTTCTACAGGTTCCAAGTTGCTGGCTTAGAAAGATCAATTTATTGGTATTATATTTCTGATAAACTTTGGCTTATTATTTAGACAAAGGAGGAACATCACTGAAGAATATCCATAATAAATATCAGGTGAACCCATCGTAGAGTATAACTCAAAAATTGTGAGGTGATTTAAATAAATTCTCGTGAAATATAAACAATAACAGGAAAGAGTTTTAAAAATTACTTCCATCATTAAAGAAGCAATTAGGACGCTTTCATGATAATGTCATGAAATGTTCACATAAAATGGATAATGATTCTCGACAGTACTACACGACTATCAGTTAGGTTTATCAACTTTATGTTTCCAATTGTTATTTCCTTGGCTTCCTTATGTACGAAGAAACTCAGTCATCATTTACATGTATATATCCAGGATTTTATCACTTTTTTAAATTCAGTTTCCCTGTGATATCATTAAAAAAACATGTAAGTCAGCAAAATGGTCGCTTTTTGTAACTTCTCTTTAGTGCTGTACAGTTATTTACAATGTTAATTGACAACAGAGGTGAAAGAGTATGAGTGATAGCGATCGGTGATTGAGATGGTTGACAACTAATCAGTTAAGTGATGAATAATCATTTAGAAATAACTGACAGAAATAAAACGATTGAAGATAGATTATAAAAATCGAAAAATAAAAGGACTACACAGGGATGATTACAAAACAATCCAGGGAGATAAAAGCAGAACTAAGAGCACTTTCCTGAGCACAAAGTTCAGCTTTTTTTCATATGGATTGCTACTGCTTCAGCTTCATGAAGAAGATGTAGGTGAAATCATTTTGAAGGGCTCAGTGGTACTTTATAAATGATTCTGAATGAACTCTTTGCTAATGCTGAGTGACCAGAAGTAATAAAGTGCTCCATTATTGGATTGTTGGCTGCTCTGCATTATCTTTTTGACAGTCATGTTTGTGAGTAGTCATGAGTACGTCTACACAATGTCCTGCTGGCACGACCTAGATTGCTAACCTTCACTGAAGCAAGTGAAGAAGTAAATGCACACTGAAGTTGCCAACAGCGGGATATTGTCTCTGATGTTTTGGGGGGTGGGAGAACAGCAAGTGTGGAGAAGTTGAGAAGTAGTGATACAGTAAGAGAACATTCTTTGAACTGCTCTCGACAGACAGCTTCGGAGAATTACACTAATTGTATACTTTCATTTTACTTATTTTATTGTCACTCTGTTACTTTTTTTAATAACATGACATTTTCATACAGGTTACATAAAGATACTTTACTGTCTTTCCATTACTTCGTGTCCACTTTATGCAATTATATTGACTGGTCATTTTTCGCAAGTGTTGCGTCATCCCAGCCTCTCATCCCTTTTCTAATCTACAATTAGTGATCTCCTTCTAGATTACACTTTACATTGTGTAACACGTTTTATAGAACAAATTTACCAGTATCTGATTGGTCTTATGAATTCTTTGTTCAATATATAAATACGATTGTACAGCTCTTGAAAATGAATCGTCAAGAAGAAAACTTTCTTCGCTCTCTACGCCGTTGTGCATTTGTATATCCCTTGAAATTCAGAGGTAAAAATAAGTCTTTTATCCAGGACATCTGAATTTAGTGGGGCAGTAGTCTTTCTCTTCAGATGTTAATCGATGAGGAAGGTTGGATATCCAATTTTGATTCGAGTGTTCCTGATGGATTCCAATTCCCTACTAGACATATCTTCAGTACATATGAGCTAGATTCCCGTCACAACAGAGATTCATTTTTCTGAGTATTGGGACAAAACTGTGAAAATTGTCAGCCACCCATTCCGTTTCAGCTTTTGACAAATTGGTCTTTATAGAGTTCCATCTGTTCGTCTTGAAAGCTAGACATCTGGAATGAATAATTTATTTCTTGGTTTTACTTCAATTTTAAATTCGAATGATCGATGAGCATTGCTATAGGTACTCTGGATTTTAGTATGCTCAGTGTTTTTGTCGATAATGATAGAGATTTCAACAATGTGCAGCCTGGAAACTCTGAACTCATTAACTGGAGGCTATTATTGCTACAGTAGGCCATGAATCAACCAGAGAGTAATGGAACTAGTGGGGAATCTATTGCTATTCCATCTTTCTGTCGGTATATTCAACCGTCGACTAAAAATTGGGAAACTGTATCCACTGAAGCCACAGTTGATCTCCACACGCATTCAGTTGCTCTGTCAAATCCATGAATTCAAACGTATCTTCTAAGAAACGCTCTATGATTAGCTTTATCACAGGTCCTAAATTCTCTGCAGACCGTCGTCGTGCTATTAGAGGGTAAGTAGATCAAACTATATTACCTACATTTTCAGCATATTTGTAGTGTACTTAAGAATTCATTGTTTAATGATTTCAGACGACCCAATACTTATAACTTACTAACTATTTTCTTTAGACGAATATATTTCACTGTTTTCTATTCGACGAAATTTCCAGGAAACTGCTTGGAATATCTTTAGTTTTCACAGGTGTAAAATTACACATTATTTGTAAGTGCAAACTCAACTACTTGGTATTTTATTCAGTAGACAGTTTTGAAAGGTGTGATTTGCCATTTTATTATTTACCTCTTTTTCTGTATCTATTCAGTTGTTTATTGACGCCTTCGTTCTAAAGTTTAATTAGATATCATAGCTGATAATCTTCTTTCTTATCAATAATAATTTTTCAGGTTATGAAACCAAGGAAGAAAATCCTTTCATAACAAGTCAGTCGCTCTCAAACTTCAGTATCATCATAAGGTGTATTTAAGAAGCATAATGGTGACATGCATGTAACAGTTTTTTTGATAGAATGTTATGTGTTGATCTTACATTTGTCGAAGGCCCGTTGATGTATTTCAGGGGTAGAATGCTCACCAACTGTGCTCGTGGTTTGGGACTCGACTCCCGGCCGGCGTGCTCCTAATCGTCGCCTAACTAGTAGTAAGCCAGGTATAGAGCGAAGGTTGGGAGGGCTGTTAGCAACTCCACACCGTACACTGGAACCTCAAAATTGGAAACTTTGTTTGTTTGTCCATAATACAAACAACTGATGTCATTTAAGACAGTTGAGGAACAGTGGAAATAACTTGATGAATGCACTAATCTCTGATTATCTCTCTTCGTTAGCCTTATTTTAAACAAAACATTCAGCTAACGAAAAATCCCCACCCGAGCATCGAAATAAGAACGAAGAGTTCAGCGAAAAGTCTCTTTCCAGAGAAAGTCTGCGTCATATCAAGTGAATTGTTGTCCATTTTTTGCACCGAATGAAAATCTGTGTATTGAACACCAAATCATTAATTACAGACCAAAGAACACCTACTTTTAATAGCACATTTGAAAGTTGTATGAATATGCTAATTAAACCAATGTGGATAGAAGTACAAATACAAAAAGATATATTCAGGTATATGTGTTGAAAAGGATCTGGAGGAGATGGTTTTAATTTCTG